ACAAAGAATAAATATAATCCCAACATTCTGAAGGCAGAGGAAGGAGCATCAGGAGTTCAAATCCAGTTTGAAATATTGATTAAACTGCAGGTTAGCCTATGCTACATAAAGAAACTGTAACAGCAATTAGGTATCTATAAAAATGGAAAATAATATCAAAATTAATATGGAAAATTCTGATGCCAATTCGCTGGGACTTTTGTGCACTCTCCAGGGAATTACAGAATTCTTTATTGTGTGTTTGTATGGATAAAGTTCAAAGTACTGATGATATTAAGATTATAAGCTAAAAAATTGAGAGCCAAATATTCACAGCTCTGCTGAGTGTGCTTTTTACGGAGTCTGTCCTAGCAGCAACAAAAAACAAATTACAAGACTTTAAACAGAAATAGAAAGAAAATGATCTTTGTTCTTATTTTTGTAGTTTTTAAATTTACTTATTTGTGGTTTAAACTGTTTTCAGTTTTGAAACAGGGTCTCATTACGTAACCAAAGCTAACCCAAAATTCACTATGTAGTCTAGTCTGATCCCAATCATCTGGATCTTCCTGTAATCATCACCCATCAGCTACAGAAATTGTATCATGCAAAGAAAGAGCCAGCTAGGAGATATAGATATAGAACTAGTTATTTTTGTGTTACTGTTGCAAAAGTTATGAAAATGGTTTGCAGAGAGAAAAGGTAGAAAAATAATACTTTTTTGTTAACTGTGCTTATTCAGTGATGATGACAATGTACATGTACACAGACAAGTGTAAAGGGCAAAAAGGCCTTGTGCACACAGATAAGCACCAGGGAAGTGAGCAAAGTTAAACATAGAGCTTATCTCTTCAGTGTAATGAGATGCATATCTGCTCTTTCTGGAATGTCAGGAATTACAGGTTTTATACCCTGGTGATCCTTTGCTATCTGATGAGACAGCCTCCACCGTATCTCCCAGAATTTGTTTTACTTTTCCTAGACCCTTTATCTGTAAATCTTCAGCAGTGATGTTAGGTCATAAAACCCATTCTTATGAGTGATGTCACTTGTACTTTACAATAGCCTAAGTGACTTTTATGTCATGTTAGGGCCTGGACAATTTTGCAGGTGTTATGTTTACTTCAATCATCTTCCTAGGCCCTGAATCTTAGACACTACCTCTGAGTGAATGGTACCCATTCTTATGAAAGAAGACAGATGTACTTTGTAAAGAATCTCAATGTAAATATGTCTTCAACTGCTGTTTGCTTGGGACTGAGTAAATTGCTATCAAAAAAAAATTTTTTTTTCCAAAATTGTGCTGGACTTAAACATGGCCAATGTAAAAAGATCTCAGCCATACTCTAGAAGTTCTGACCCAGCACTGTTACCATAAAATCAGGCTGACTTTCATTTTTATCTCTTCATGGATCATGATTTTTTCCCCTGCCAGCTGTAAAGCCTGCAGAGAACCACCACACAAAGTAAAAGAGGACTAGCCATGTGCCTGTAGTGGTGCTTCTCTGGAGGTGGAATTAGCAGAGGTACGTGATTTGATGGGCTAGATTCTAGTCTAGGCTACACAATGAGACTCTGTCTCAATAAACAATAACTAAAGTACAAAGGAATAAACAAGTTATTTTGAGTGATTTCATAATTATGAGTTTCCAATTCTCTGAGACTGGGTGAGCTGAATGGAGGTCCATGAGCTGTCGATATACATCAAAGACATGACAAAAACTGTTGGTTCATGAATTTCAAAAGAGTTTTCTTGAGTTTGTGTTCACTGCTGGACATTTGAATATAAATATTTAATAATCAGAAGAAAATTCTCTACTACCTACTTTTCCAAAACTCTGTTTTCATAAAATTAGCTCCTCTGGTATGAAAAACATAATCAAAATCTAAGGCAATCATGGAGAACAGAATATTTTGAAATGATTAAATGGCCAGTATTTTGACATAAAGAGGCTGGTTATTAGGCACAGTAGCTATAAGAACATATTAATGAAACTTGATTTGTTGAGAATATAGAGTTTAAATATTAGCCATATTCAAATTAAGAAAGTACTTGCATAATGACTGACATTTTAAATAGTGGGGTTCTTTTTAAATATTTATCTTTATTTTATGTTTATAAGTGTTGGTGTGCATGTATGTATTTATGCACATACATTTGAACCCAATGACCATGGAGGACAGGAGAGAGCACTGGGTCCTATGGTACTGAAGTTACAGGTGGTCTTCAACCATGATGTGGATTCTGAAAATAAAAACCAGGTTCTCTGCAAGAAGAGCAAGGACTCTTAATCACTGAGCCATCTTTCTAGCCTCTATATAGTTTAGTTCCTCAAAGAATCACTGAAGTTAATTTTTTCAAGCCTTTTGTGAGTGAAGAAATTCATTAATTCATCTCAATAACATCTCATAAA